TCTGATCATTATCATCTGAAAGATTTTACAAACCCATATTTTTATACAGCTCTGCACCAAAGTAAACTATTCAATTCCTGAATAACTTTTACACATCACATTACATAAATATATTAACATCTGTGCACAAAATAAACTAGAGAAGATATTGTTAGCGGCAAAAAGATGGGAAAAAATACAACATACCTTTAAAAAGATAGCCTTTGCTTCATATAGGTTTTAGAATGAAGATATTTTTTGTATTTACATGCAAAGAATACAGCGAATGATCAATATTCGTGATTATGGAACTACAATTCTAGCATATTTCATGATCAAAATGCTTATTTAGCAGAAAAAAATCCACACAATGTACAAAACAATAGTGCAAGAAGAGCTTCAAACAATTTTTCTCTTCATTTTTGAGCTTTTGGTTAAAAACTATATATCTGACCGAAGATGCTGCTGTGAAACTTAGCTTCTACTCCACAGGTAGGTTTAAGGCACATAATCATTTTCAAAGGTTGGTTGGTTCTTTATGTCAAATGTTCCAGTTTTCAGATTTTCATTTTTAGAAACCAATCCGGACCAGGAGTTTATTTTAATAAATGTATTTTGTGAAGACGTATTAGATGCATCTTCTGACTGCTACTGTACTGTTAATAATAATAAAAATGCTGTTGGCTTATACAAATGTTCGCCTTGTTGGAACAGTCGTTTTGGGCTGTATCCATTTCAAGTAAACAGATCCCATTTAATTATATCAGAAATATTTTCTGACTGAAAAAAGCGTGGCCTCTTTCTATACCTATTTAAACAGCAGTCACAATTTTGCTTAAATGTTTAATTCTGAAGCAGAAAAAGCTAAAGCTTGAGATGTCTAGAGAGAATGTTACAGTCAACCTGTGATACAGGAATGTTCTTTGATTAGCTAAAAGCTGATTCCTGTGTTTTCGGTAAACTTAGATGCTTAAACTTAGATACTCTGAAGTAAAAATGTCTACGTTTTGGGATTCTTATTACACATTCCAATAGTTTTCATGCCTACATGTTTTTCTTGCATGATGGTATTCAGGCTGGGGCATGCTGGATGCCACCGAGTCTTACTTTCAACAAGATGAATGCACCATGCACCTTCAATCAAGGCTTTGGCTTTACCTATATCATGACAGTAATTGGTGTGAATTTCTGCACAAGTTCAGATTCTCAAACCTCTTCTAATGTGCACAAGAAAAAGACAAGGTTTATAGCAAGGGACAGACAAAGTGGACAATTCACTGAAGCTAGAGAATCACAAATGAGAGTGCTTATGATACTGTTTCCCAACCTCTAATTCCCTGGTCTCCAAATGATCCAAAATACACCAAGTGCATAGGGATGGGATAATTAAGTTGGACAAAACCAATCAGAGAGCTGCATTTCACTTCCTAAGGAAATCTTTCTAACACAGCTTTATAGGTAAGGGAAAGAAATCTGTTGACTTAATGGTTCTTAGGAGCTAAGCAATCTGCTTTGTTAAGCATAAATACTAAATAATATATTTTGTTTTCAGCATTTTTAACTCTAAAATCTGACTAAATTGCTGTAGAGAAAACCAGGCTGAGCCCTTCGTTCCCACAAGGGATCCAAGTCCAAGCCCACCTTGAATTCCTATGATTCTTATCTACCACCAATTTGCTTGGGCACTAGTAGTTCAGATTCTTGTAAAGAGCTTAAGCTTGAAATAAATGTTTACACCCATTGTACTGCTGATTTTCCTGATGCTTGACAACTGCTCAGTTTTACAATTCTATTAATTATACCTCAGTAATAACTAGCCACATATATTTCCCAAGGTATGATTGAACCTTCGTAGAATAGAACAAGTGGGCAGTAAATTAGGTTTTGCTGATTTTTATAGACAGTTATTCAAGTGCTAATACAGGAACATCAGATAGTATGCCTATACAATTATACAACTGAAGCCCATGACAGAACCAAAGAAATAGAAAAAGTAATGAATTACATTGACCATCATGGGATGACTTTCCTTTTTATTAGAAAAGATTAGATATACCAAGCCAGAACCTATTCAGTAGAACAGAGGTCCCCAACCTGTGGGCCACGCCCTATTTGCAATTGGGCTGTGTGAATGGTGGGCTAGCGTGCATGAGCACAACCTGACTCATACAGGCTGTGGGTGCCAGAACCTGTAGCCCCAATTGCATGAGCAATGAATGACAATGCTCACAGCCCCACACAAATGACACAATGAAGCTGTGCACACACATGCATGTGCACCTGCCCCTTGCACAAAACCATCCCCTCCCCCCCCCGCTCCAGGCTGCCAACCTGGAAAGTATGGGGAATGCTGCAGTAAAGTTCAAACCTTCTACAGGTAATTGAACTCAAGGATTTTTGTACTTTAGTTGATTGCATATAATCCATCAGTTTGGAATTAGAACATAGAACCTAGGATAAAGAGTTGGCAGAGACCTTGGATATCTTCTAGTCCAACTCCCTGTTCTAGCAGGAAACCCTATCCCAGTGATGGCGAAGCTTTTACAGACTGAGTGCCCAAACTGCAATTCCAAACCCACTTATGCATTGTCAGGTGCCGGGTGGGTGTGGCCCATTGGGTGGATGTGGCCCATTGGGTGGGCATGATTGTGGTGGTAACGGCAGACTGGGTGGGACTAAAAAGTTCAATCAATCAATTCCAACTTTGCAAGATCTTTTTTTTTCCCTGCGAGAAGTTGAAATTGACTCATTGAACGCTTTTCTTTTGCACACGGCGGCAGAGGCCTAAAGCGAAAAGGTTTTATAAAACCCAGCTGAAGGCCTGGGACTGGGGTGATGGTGCGCGTGCCCACAGAGAGGGCTCTGCGCGCCGCCTCTGGCACCCATGCTATAGGTTTGCCACCACTGCCCTATCCCATTCCAGACAAATCGCTGTCTAGTTTCTCCTTGAAAACCTCCAGTGATGAAGCATTCAGAACAACATTCCTATCAACAACTGATAGGAATGTTCATAGTTCTAGGTTATCAATTTGATATGTTTCCATCTGCTCCTTTTTGTCCTGCCTTCAGGTGCTTTGCAGAATAGGTTGACCCACTTCTTCTCTAACAGCCACTCAAATACTAGAAGACAGTTATCATGTCACTCCTAGTCCTTCTGTTTGTTAGACTAGTTATACCTAGTTCCCTCAATAGTTCACCAAATGGTTTAGCCTCCAGACCCCCTTATCATCGAGATCCTGCTGCTCAGCAGTGTGACAGAAAAAGATATATAGAGTCTATCAGAATGATATATTTACTATATGGTAGAGGGTTTGAACCCTATCAAATTTGGCTCCATAGGTCTGATAATTCCCAAAGAGGATGAAAATGGTCATGTATTACTTCCTCGTGGTCAATGTAATCTAATGAAGCATACAATGTAACCCATAGGATATGGACTGTGTGAAAAGAGAAATGCCTCCTCCTGGCCAAGAGACGGCTGTTGGAAATAAAGATAATCTTCGACTTTTCAACCACAATTGAGTCCAAAATTTCTATTGCTAAACAAGACAGTTGTTAAGTGAGTTTTGCCCTATTTTATGACCTTTCTTGCCACAGTTGTTAAGTGATTCACTGCAGTTACTAAGTTAGTAACAAGGCTGTTAAGCAAATCTGGCTTTCCTATTGACTTTGCTTATCAGAAGTCTGCAAAAGGTGATCACATAACTCTGGGACATTGCAACATTCATGAATACATGCCAGTTGTCAAGTGGTAAATTTTGATCACATGACCGCCGGGATGCTGCAATGGTTGTAAGTGTGAAAAGCAATAACGAGTCACTTTTTTCAGTGCCGCTTAAGTTCAAACAGTCAGTAAACAAATGGTTGTAAGTCAAGGACAACCTATAATGTGAAACCTCATCCATGGCATAATTCAATTCATATTGCTGCAAGTTTAAGGAAAGATAGACTAGATATACCATTCTGATAGATACAGGTAGTCCTTGACTTACAACAGTTCATTTAGCGATCATTCTAAGTTACAACAGCACTGAAAAAGTGACATGATCATTTTTAACACTTATGTCTGTTGCAGCATCCCCATGGTCACATGATCAAAATTCAGATGCTTTACAACTGACTCATATTTATGACAGCTCCCAGAGTTGTGTGATCACTTTTTGCGACCTTCTGAGGAGCAAAGTCAATGGGGAAGCCAGATTCACTTACTAACTTAACAACTGCAGTGATTCACTTAACAACTGGGGCAAGAAAGTTTGTAAAATGGAGAAAACTCACTTAACAACTGTCTCACTTAGCAACAGAAATTTTAGGCTTTATTTTGCTTGTCAGTCGACGATTGTGCAGTTCAAAACAAAATGAACAAATACATCCTTAGAACCATTCAGTGTCTTTCAAAGTCTATTTTTGCATTATGCAAACTAAGCCTAATCTCTTCTTGCTTGAAAAAATGCACTGCTAAAACAGCACAGTATTTCTCAAGTTTTGCAACTTGAAGATGCATGGACTTCAACTCCCAGAATTTCCCAATCAGCGTAAATTGCCCACCTCTTGCCAATTTTGGCCTGGCAGACAAGAGCTGAACTTTTCTGATACATTCAAGTGCAACCCTACCAAGGAATTACTAGTTTAGATAGATAATATAATGGTCTTCTTTCACTGGAATATGCAGTAGGAATAACCTTGAGGAGCCGGAGGAAGAGCCATAATCAAGGCAATGGTCAGATAAAAGAAATCTGAGTCCAGGGTACAAATGTAATTTGAATAACAAAATAACAGAGTTGGAAGGGACCTAGGAGGTCTTCTAGTCCAACTCAGGCAAGAAACCCTCTACTATTTCAGACAAATGATTGTCCAAAATCTTCTTCAAAACTTCCAGTGTTGGAGCATCCACAATTTCTGGAGGCAAGTCACTCCACTGACTAATTGTTCTGTCAGGAAATTTTTCCTTAGTTCTAGATTGCTTTTCTCCACGATTAGTTTCTATCCATTGCTTCTTGTTCTGCCTTCAGGTGCTCTGGAGAATAGGTGACTCCCTCTTCTTTGTGGCAACCCCTTAGATATTGCAACACTACTATCATGTCACTCCTAGTCCTTCTTTTCATTAAATGAGACATGCCCAATTCCATTAAACTAGACATACCCAAATATCCAATTTGGTCTCAGACAAAACCTCTCTACTACTCACAAAGATAAAGGGAGGGAGAGGGAAAGTCCAACCAGACTGCAATTGCAACCTTCTAACAAAAATAGTATTAGTATTCATAACTCTGGTTTCCTAGTCTGGTTTATCTCAAAGGGCTGACATCAGCATATTTTTATCTTATGGTGCAAAGATTTTATATCACTCCTGGAATACATATTGTAGAAACAAATGCAACGAGACTGCTTGCCTTGCAGTTATATTTTTGCCAAATATAAATCTATACAATCCATTCAATCCCCTTACACTGAATCAATGCAAAGTGTTAAAAGTCTGACATTTTTATAAATTAATTTAAATTGTTCTTTGAAATTGAATTTATAAACATAATATAATTTGCCTCCTATGGTTATATACTGTAAAATTGGCCATGAACTTAAAAAAAATTAAGTTTCTTAAGCAAAGGTAACACAAAGTAGCTTGCATTGCTCCAATACTAAAAAAAAACACTATCCAAGAATCATGTATGTGCATTAGCCAAGAATCATGTATGTGCATTAGCCTCTCTTGCTCTAGTCTTTCTGATGTTTCTGTGCAGATCTCAGGTGAGAAGGGTTTCTGCAAACTATAATACCAATGAAGCTCTGTATGACTGACTGATGACACTCTTGTCAGGCCTGTCTCTGGAGAGAGGCCACATAGCAGTAGCTTTCATCCTCCACAGTGGCATACCCCTTTTTCCCTTGTGCCTAAACCATATTTTCCAAAGCTAAGGTCTTTGAGATTTGTGCAATCCACCAAAAGGTACCACTTAACCAAGAGAAAGTACAAAATATGATTAGGAATTAGATGTAGAGGCAGATTTCTTACTAGAAATATCACTGATAAACTCTACAAGTTTCAAGTGATACCCATCATCAGCCTCTGTATACCTAGGGCAGAATAATTTAAGAAACATCTAGTGCCTTCTGATTGTATCTTATACTTTCTAGAACCTGATATAACAAATCTGGAAATAGAAACAGGTTACTACAAACTTACCAAGATAAAGTTATCATAATGTTCATTTGAACTCACTGAATTTCTTGACTTGAACTATAGGCTGGAGAAACCTCATCCATAACTGTGCTAAATGTTTCTCTAGGGTGTCTTATATTAGTTTTCTCTCTCTTTTTTTTTCAGAACTCTAATGCCTTGGTATCTCATTTTTCCTGTAAACTTATTTCAGATAAAATACAGGGCTTCAAGGACAAATTGCCAGTTGTGCTGCCCACCACTCTGCAAATTAAAAGGCTATTTTTAACATATAATGCAAAAATAAGTCTACGCCAAGGTTTCTGAATTTGTCTTGATATATTCTGCTAGGTGGATCTTAGTCTTAGTCTTCTTAGTCTTCTTGTTGAATCTCAAGATGCATATCTTAACATGCATGCAACTTGTCTCAAATAAAGAGATAAAAGTTCCACTGTACTATTATTCACTGGGGTGGGGGATAATATTTGGAAACCAATGTGCAACCATATGGATGGAATGGTTAGCATTCTTGAGATATTTTGACAGGCATGTCCCAAGGAGCCAGTCCTTAGATCCTTTGCATCAACACAGACACCATCCAATATGTAAGCTTGTCACTAATTTGTGTATCAACAGAAGTAACTCTTAGCCCAACTTGCAACAATTTCAATTAAATACAGCCTCCAGAAAGGAGTGTTTAGCTCTTCAAAGCAGTTTTGTTAAGTTACTACAGCAATGACTTGTTCAGTTTGACAATCATTCACAGTATTGCATGCTTCTCTGGGATGATGACAGATGAATTCATTTCAACAATTCATGGGATTTACTTGAGAGTTTCCATGGAGAGACAATTGGAATGGGATCATGGAGAATTCAACAGCTCTGCTAGCAAGTCCATCCAGCAAAGGCAGCCCAACAGGTTTAAGAGGACCTAAAAGAAAGAAGATGCCATGATAACCTAATTTGCAATCTCTACACATTACAAATCTGGCAGGAAAAAGTTAAGATGATGCAAACGAGTTTAATTGAGAATAATGTATTTATAACCTGTTCAATGCTGGTTTTTCTTTAAAGAAATGTAGGTTGCAAGTCAGCAGAATCCCAACCTTTCCAAATCCAGAGATTTTATTCAGAAATTTAAGTATGTTCTTTTATTTCTCCTACTGACATAAATGGCAAAACCTGTCTTAATGGCCAAAACTCACTTTTTTCATTGGCAATGTTATAAAACTGTAAGATGATGCCAAGAGTAATTGTCACCTGTTTATCAACTAAGGTGCATGAATCTGTAGAACAATTAATCTTAAATCACAATGAATTTAAATAAAAAACCTAAATAATTTGCTTTGTGTTTTGAGTGAACAATGTTGTGTGGGGAGGATTTTTTTTTTAAAAAAGAGAACTGTAGAGGGTAACTAATGCAAACGCCTAGAAGCAAGCAAAGTTATAACCAGAAGCCAACATGGGTTTGTCAAAAATAGATCATGCCAAACAAATCTTATTTTATTCTTTGACAAAGTGACTTAATTAGTGGACCAGTGAAATGTAGCAGACATAATATACTCAGATTTCAGTAAGGCATTTGACGTAGACTACAAACTATTTGTTGATAAGCTAACAAAATACCAACATGGATTTGTAACTGGCTGACAAACTTTGTTCAAAGTATAGTCCTTAATAGAACTACATCTACATCAGGGGCGTCAAACTCAATTTCACTGAGGGCCACATCAGGGTTGTGGTTGACCTCAGGGTGGGCGTGGTCAGGGTGCGTGGCCAACTCAACATCACTTGTGTTGGGGGGCAACTGTGTGGTCTGGGCGGGGCTGGGGGGATCCAGCCTGGTCTTCAAGCTCCCAGGGCACTGGGACCCCACAGCCCAGCCAGCCCTGCTATCCCAAGAGGGCGCCCTGCTGTGCTTATCTCCTCCTCAAAGCTGCTGCTGCTGTTTTTGCTCTCCTTGGCCATGATGTGTGTGGGAGGGCATAGTATGTGGGTGAGAGGGAGGCCCACTCTCTCTCCATATGAGGAAGCCTGGCTTTGTAACTAAAATATCCTCAGCAATAGGATGGGAGACCGCCAAGAGAGATCAAGATGAGGAGACAAGGGGATGGCAAAAGGGCAGCAGGGCTGCTGGTGGCCAAATGCTAAGACAGCACTTCCCTCAGACCCTCCCTCTCTCTCATTGTAATCCCCTCCCTCCCTTTTCTTCTTTTTCCTTGCCTCTTTATTCTCCTTTCTTTCTTCTTCCTTTCCTTCTTTTTCCTTTCTTATTCTCTTCCCCTCTTTCCTTCTTTTTTCTTTGTCTTTACTCTTTCCCTTTCTCCTTTCCTGTCCCTTCTTGGATGCTCAAATGCAAAAGAGGAAACATTTCTCAATGCCTCCTTGCCTTGTGATCAAATGCCACTTTTGCTAGTAGTTTGTGGCCACTTAAAAGACAGAGAACAAACCAGGCTCAGTTTATCCCGTGCCTGCATTTAGTGGGGGTGTCTACAGACAACAGTACAGCAAAATGGTCAAAATGGTGGCTGTGATAGTTAATCAGAGCTCCTCTGTTTTTTATGTGCAACAGCTTTAGCTTTCATGAACAGAGGTAGATTAATTGTTTTTCTATTAATACATAATCCTTAAAAGGGCTCTCCTGTAGGGAGCCTGCCTTGGTCTAATTCAGACTGAAAATATACCAAAGGAAAATATTTTCCCCCACTGGAAATGGCTATTTGCAACATAGAAGGAAGGGATACTTTCCTAAGAGCTCACAATTCAAGAATACTAATGTTAACTTGGATTGCCAACAAAGTTGTCTGTGACAAAACAGAAAAACAAAATAGCTTTCTCCTTTGAACTGGGGCATTTCCAACCGAATTGCCTCTCCCTCCCTCCCTGATTCCTTCCTTCCTTCCTTCCTTCCTTCCTTCCTTCCTTCCTTCCTTCCTTCCTTCCTTCCTTCCTTCCTTCCTTTTTTTTAAGCTGCCAGAGGCTCCAGGCAGAGGTGGCAACAGGCAACCAGCTGTGGGCAAAGGCTTCCCCTCCCCGTCATTGCCTCTACGTGGCTTAGCTCACCTCTCCCAGTGTTTTGTGTGTGTGTGTGTGTGTGTGTGTGTGTGTGTGAGAGAGAGAGAGAGAGAGAGAGAGAAAGAGAGTGCACATGAAGGAGTGTGTGTTTCTCTCACCCCTTGAAGCCCCACACCCTCAACAGAGACCTTCTGCGATGGCAGGCTGCAAACTAATGAAAGCTGTTTTTTTGGAGTACTTGTTTCTTTTTCTCAATGTGCTGCCAATTGCATCATGCCCTGCCCCCCTCAGTTCCCGCCCCCAGCTCCGTGGCAGGCTGCAAAAAGCATTCCTCTCCCGTTCTTTTCCTCCCGATGTCACAGCGTGGGGCTGCAGGAGGTGAGACCCCACACACGCGCGCACACACACAAACACATGTGCAGGTTCTGGGAGAGGTGAGCTGAGAGCCATGGAGCAGGAGGAAACGATAGGGGAAGTGGTCAAAATAGGAAACTTCTGTCCGGAGCCTCTGGCAGCTTAAAAAAAAAGACGTGTGGAGCAGTGGCTTCCCTTTCAGTCCACCCTACCCTCCGTTGCCTCCACACCGGGGTTGACTCTATGCCTGCCGAAAGGGCAGTTTTGCTTTCAAACACCCCCCCCCCATTCCAGAAACCGAAAACTGCTGCCGTTCACCTGCCGTGTCTCCCTGACAGCCCTTGCAAATTCCTATTGCATGCTGGCAGGCAGAATCCTAAAGCTCCCATTCTGTTTCCTCCATGCTCAGGAAGGAAACTGCCGGCTGCAGCTCTCTCACTCGGGGGTGGGGCGATCCCAGTGAAAGCGTGTCAGAGGCTGGAAGGGGGTGGGGTGAGGCCAGGTGGGGCGGGGTGAGGCAAATGAGCTGCAGCTGCTCCTGCGCACCACCAGCCTCTGAGCACTCACCATTTCCTGTGCGTGCACCGGGAGATTGCCCAGCTGGGTTGGGGTGGGCCAGGGATGGGGCAGCAGGGGCCGGTTTCTTGCCATTTCTGTGAGCAGCTCCAGGGGCCAAATTTGGACCCTTGGCGGGCCGTATCCGGCCCATGGGCCTTGTGTTAGACATGTCTGATCTACATGGAGGGAAATAAGAAGCGGGATACCCCAAGGTTCTGTTTTAGGCTGAATACTCTTCAATAGCTGGTTCATCTCCTCCAAGCTGACATCTGGGGAGGTATCTGGGGAAGCGTCCGGGGGAGTAATACAGGTTGAAATGGTAGAACTTTGAGGGAGAGTGACTATGCCATATTGGAATTCAATATAATGCAGACACAAGCAATAGAACATAGTCAAACCAGTGTCTTAAGACTTTAAAAGAACTGACTTCAACAAATTTAAAGAGAGGTTTCAAAGGATTCCATGGATGAAAATCTTAAAGAGGACTCAAGAGGCTTGGGAAACTGAAAAATGTGATTATAAAAGCCCAATCCACCACAATTCCATTGAAAAAGAAAAACAAGAAATCCAAAATGAAACCAGCATGGCTGCATAAAGGAATCTCTGATAAACTGAAAGACAAAAAGTACAAGTATAAAAAAATAAAAAGAGGGACAGACAATTAAGGCAGAATACTAGCATATAGCCCGAATCTGCAAAGATGAAGTCATTAAAGCTAAAGCTCAGATTGAACTAAGACTTGCAACAAATGTCAAAAATAATTTTTAAAAAGTTTATTTCAACATGTAAAAAACAAGAAAGAAGTCAAGGAAACAATCAGTCCACTAATGCGAGAAGATGGCAAAGAAGTGATGGGCAGCAGGGAGAAAGCAGATCTGTTTAAGAATTTGCATTCTTTGCATCTGTCTTCACACAAAAGGAAAAATAGCAAAAACAGAACTGCAAAAGACAGGCTAGGAATAAAGTTTAAAATAGGCAAGAAATGTAAGATAACACCTGTCCAGCTAGGCAAGTTCAAATTACTAGGAGCAGAGTTCTGAAGGAGCTGGTAGACATGATCTCAGAATCACTGAACCATATTTTTCAAAGATTCTAAATCACTGGGAAACTACCAGAGGACTGGAAAAGAGCTGATGTGATTCCCTTCTTCAAAACGGGGGGGGGGGGGAGGGATTGGATCCAGAAAACTACACATGAATCAGCCTGGCATCAATATCCTGAAAAAAATAATCAAACAACAGATCTGTGGACATCTAGAAGCAAGCAAAGTTATAACTAGAAGCCAACATGGATTTGTTAGAAACGCATCATGCCAAACAAATCTTATTTCATTCTTTGGCAAGTGACTAAATTAGTGGACCAGCAAAATATTGTGGACATAGTATACGTGGCTTTCAATAAGGCATTTGACAAAGTAGATCACAAGTTACTTCTTCGTAAGTTAGAAAAATATGGGATAGACAGTATCACCACCAAATGGATTCATAAGTGGCTGACAAACTGCACTCAATGTGTAGTCCTTAATGGAACTACAACTACATGGACAGAAATAAGCAGTGGGGAACCCCAAGGTTCTGTTTTAGGCCTAGTACCCTTCAATACTTCCATTAATGATTTAGATAAGGGAATAGAAACTCAACAAATTTACAGATGACACTAAACTAACAGGAATAGCCAACATCCCAGAACATAGGCTCAAGATCCAGACAGATCTTGACAAACTTGAACACTGGGCCCTATCTAACTGAATTAAATTCAACGTAGAGAAAAGTAAAGTTTTACACTTAGGCAAGAAAAATCAAATGTATAAGTACAGATTAGCTGAAACCTGGGTCAATAGCAGGAACTGTGAGAGGTATCTTAGAGTCCTAGTTTCATTTTTATCCAATCACTTAAATATGAGCCAACAGTGTGTGGCAGCAGCCAAAAAAGCCAATGCAATCCTAGGTTGCATTAACAGAGAGATAGACTCAAGATCACATGAAATATTAGTACCACTTTATA